GTACTTCTCTGAAAGGGCTTATATTGATGAAATTTTATATGTACACTCGATAGTCTGCGAATAGGTTCTTATCTATGTTCTATACCCCTAAGTAGTATAAGGGACACCCCAAAACTTTCGTTATAAATTTTGGTCTAAATTTTTATGATGTTGTATTAAAAATACATACACTTCAAAATTCTCACCCTCCTACCACGAAACTAAATTTTTTAATAGCGATATTAATTTATATGGGAAAACAACGTTCGCCCGGTCAGCTAGTATATACATATATAGTTTGTTAGTACCAGAATGTACTGCATATTAATTGTTCGTACTCGTGTATACGACTTGGCAACCGCCCGCTTGAAAATTCAGGCTTCGCACGCCTGTAGGCCAAAACAGGAGGGTGTGCGGGGGCCGAGGGGGGTCGTGGAGGCGGTCGTTAGTGACATTTCGTATTCATGACGTCAGCCTCGGGCCGATTGTTTGCAATATTACTCTAATTGGAATTGTAATTACGTGCACATATCCTGGATAGCGTTCCCGACGTGACGCCCGGGAGCAAATCTAGTGGAGATTTCATTCTTTGTGTTTTGATTTTTTTTTATGGTAAAACTACCCGCTCCATTGATGCACAGGTAAATTATATTCTTAATTCTTTGATACGCAAAAGAAACAAGACTTTCGACACGAACATGATGACGGCCTCGGTGGTCTAGCGGTTTAGTACACCGCTTTACTTCCGACAGTCGCGGGTTCGACTTCATGTACGGTGCAAACATTTATATTCATAAGTATAATTGTTTGTGGTCTAGGTGTTTCCTATATATATTATGTATGCATTTAGAAAAAAAGTATATAAATGTTTATTATGATTTGTCTAATAGTGGGACTAAATGGCACTATGTTAATTGTCAAGAGTTATTTATTATTTCTGTCCAGGCTTAAATACAATGATGTATAGGTACCTTGCATATGCATGGTGGAGATATTCAGTAGACAATCAGATAGTAAATATAATTGTTTCTTTAGTCAAGGAGTGGAGTCCGCGTATAGGTTAACAAAGAGATCGATGACGTCAAAAAGGAAGCCGGGAGCGGATGAATTCGGAGGGCGGAATATCGCACGTAGTGGAAGGCATTGTAACAGGCATATATCCAACAGTGGACCTTTTATATCCACTAGTGTGCCAAAAGGTTCCTTAATCTCTTAAATTTATATGATATAGGTACATAGTATAACAGTAAATCGACTAATAAACAGTTACAAAAAAAAAACAACAACAATTAAATTCTGTTAAGATTACTAAAACATTAATTATTAAAATTGGGCCTATGCTAAAACACATTGTATTAGATACATAATTAATTTGATTCCTAATTCAAAAATAGTTGGCGCCAAAATAATTTCGTATATTTTTTATTGTCTATATCACAGAGTAATGAACGCTACGTTTATTAAGAGTAGGCACCGCCCTTATGAAAATTAAACAGAAATTGAATCTATGAATGAACCTGAAATATTTTTAAAAACTGGCTGGCAGTTTCGTACAAAAATCGTTTTGTTTTAATTGAGGTAGGAAAATTTAAATGGTTTTTATTAAAACTTAGCAGATACTATGAGGCGCTGAAAAAATTGGGAACGCGGATTTATAGAAAAAAGTATTAATTTTTACTGATGCAAATTTGTCAATTAGAATAGAATAGAAAATAATTTATTCAAATAAACTTAATTTAAGCAATTTTGAATAGTCAACAATTTTTTTTAAAATCTACCGCTTATAAGGAAAGCTGCCTCATTACAAGAAGAATAAGCAAGAAACTTGTGTGTTGCTCTTTTAAACAATCCTTGTAAGATCACATTTTACAAGTCGAAACCAACACTAATTTATTTTGCCTCAAATATAAAAACACAATAAGATTAAATCAGTCATAGTGATAAGAGCAGACCAGTCCCTACAAGCAGCACTCGTTCACGAGTATGACGGATAGGACGGAATACCACGACATACCCGGTAAAATAATTAAGTACAAAATGGTTAACCGCAAAATCTTGATTGTCAATGATTTCATAAATCAAAAAAAGGTTTGCAAATTGTTTTTATATTCAGCCAGTTATAATTTAACATTAATTAATATGTATATAGAAAAAAAAGAAATGCTTAAAATTTAGTATTAGTTAAATATAAATTAATATCAATGTACCTTAAACATTTTCTGTATCATTTTTAGCTGGAAGTAATTTTCTTGGTAAGATTACCACCAGTAGTAATACCACTGTAGGTACTATTAGTAAGCAGTAACTAATATGAATAAAGTTTTAGCATTTCAGGTATTAAACTTTAAATTATTTATGACGGTTCAATGAATTTAAAAAAAGAATAATTTATTATATATTTATTTAATTTTTATGATCAGAATGATATATCACAATACATCTTAAGAAATTAATTTGTATTACTTTTAAAAACATAAAAAAAACCTTCATAGAATTTTGATAATAATACAAATATAAAGAGTATATCGTCAGGTGGATAAGTGGTTTACTACACCAGCTCATACCAAAGAGGTAGTAAGTTCAAATCTAGACGACACTTGATTGTGTGTTAAGTTATATATCAGACTGATTTTTAGATGAAAAAAACACTCATATCAAAACAAAATTAAATCCAAGAGACAGCGGCCTCTTGCCACGTTAAATTGAAATAGTCTAAAATCTTTACATAGTATGTATATAACAGAGACGCCGCCGTTGTCTGTTCGCTTATATCTTTTAAATTATACAACGGATTTTAATGCAGTTTTGAGCAATAGATAGAGTATATAAGAAGGTTTTTATGTATAACTCGCTGTTCCCGCGACTTCGTCCGCATGGAATTTAACTATATTTTTCTAAAATAAAAGTATCCTAAGTTACTTCTTATTACAACAGATACCTGCCAAAGAAGTCCCGTGAATAATGGTCCAGCCAAACAGACAGACAGACAAACAGACAAAAATCGTAAAAAATGTTATTTTGGTGTATGTACCGTGTTTATATTCATATGCATGTAGTAAAAAACGGTTATTTCAGTATTACAAAGAGACACTCCAATTTTATTTATATGTACAGATACATGCGTCTTATAGTGTAGAACAAGCCGAAAAATTCAAATATTTGTAATGCATCAGTGCAAACCGGAACTGGTTGCTAGTATTAAATAAAAAAATAAAATTCATTCATCACAATATTGACTGTGCCTCAAATTTTTTCAACAACGAAAACAGCCTTAACTGTATATTGTGTTTATGTTTAGAATGGAGTCAAAACTGTACTATGACGAAACTCTCATGACCTATTGAAAGTAATAAACACCCTTAAAACAGACCAATAATACCACAATACCACAGACTATAGAGTGCCACTCGTGGCATTTCTCGTATGTTGCTCCTTCTAAGCACTAAATAGTTACTATATATTCTCATGCTTTAGAAATTGCATTAGTGCCATAGTGCTTTCTGAATGTATTTGGATCACTCGGAACTAGGGAGAGTATGAAATAAAGGGCTCCATCAAAGCTCCATCTTGTATTTCGCCTCGGTGGTCCAACAGTTTAGCACACCGCCTTACTTCCGATGGTCGCAGGTTCGTTTCATCATACAGTACAAACATTTGTTGTTTGATGATTATGAATGTTTGTATATGTATGTATGTACTTAAAAATTGTATCTGTTTATATTCATAATTCAAGCTCTACTTGGCTTGGGACTAGATGGAGCTATGTGAATTGTTCTGAAATATTATTATTATTATAGTTACAGATTCATTAGCATCATAATTTTAAATATCATTGTTACGTATATTGTATATGCTTTCTTCATCTATTTATCTATTGGTTTACTATCCTGCTTGAGAATCGTTTCAAATCTGGCCAATACAAAAAACTTTGTGACTGATTTCCGGTGATGGAAACACCGATAATAATCCAAATTTACTCTAACAGAGGCCTGCAACCTGATATATTAAATTTCAATATAAGGTTCGTTACACTGTTCGGTTTCCTGATCGGTTCACTGATTTATTCGAACTCAGTGAAATGTGGCCCAACGCCAACGCAAATGTAGCATTCAACATGAACTCGCCAGTTGACAATGCCTCTGAGTACCGTATCTGGGATAATAGTAGTAAAGGCTTATTTCTTTATCTATCCTCATGCCAGATCCTTTACGGAATGGGCAGAGATACAGAGTCTTTTGTTACCTACCCACAAGTCTTGCCATATCCACATACATAACTATGCTACTTTAAGTATGCGTGCCGGTTCTTTTGATTCTTCCATCAGCTAACAAACATTGAATCTGATAATAGATTAGTCTGTACTTCCACCGGCCATCGATCACCTACATCTATTATTCCCTTTCGTGTACTGTCCTTCTGTATACGGGTAGAATAATCTATACTCTTTCACACTACAGTCTTTCCATGTACTGGCAGAATATTTATAATCGTAAACAGGTTTACGATTAATTTGCTGATAAATTCGTTTAATAGGTACAATATACATTCAACAGTCTATTCATCTTTTTCAATTTTCTATTTAATGCTTATAACTCTCTATAGACTTACGTAGAGTCATCTTAAGTTTCATTAAATTGTATAAATCTTTAAGCATGATATCCAACATCTTAAAACTTATAAAGAGTCTGTAATTATTGATTTTTTTAAATGTATTGGCACGTGTATGTTAAATTTAAACTACGATCAGAAAAAAGTTCGGATTTGTAAAGAAAGTGGATTTAAGAATGTCCTCTCAAACGAACATATTTTGAAACTGAACATATTGTACAATGGTAGACTTGAGTATAAAACTAGTTTCTTTGTAAATGATTTACTGAATCATGCAACAGTTTGTTGTAGAACTATATCTTTACATAGGTCTCTGTATCTGTATTTTTTTTAAAAAGAAACTTGATATTTAGCAAAACTCGACTTATAACATTTTTACTGGTAAACATAAGTATAAAATATTGGGTACAAACCTGAGTGATCCTGTAAGGAACGACTAAGAGGCGGCGCAGGTGGCGTCGCCGCGTGTTCTCCACCATACAGCCCACCGAACTCCTCAGCAGATGACGACGACGCATTGCTGCACTTCCGCCCCTTGTCAGGAGTGTACTTGCTCTCACCACCAGATGGTAAGAACTTGGCATCCGACTGGTGCTCATCTAGTAAACCTGGCACTCCGAGAAGACCACCGACCAAGTTCGGCCTCAACTCTTCCATGATCTTGGAGCCTTGGCCGCAGCCACCTCCACCCGTGAAGTTGAGCTGCCGGCTGAAGAAGGCCGGGAAAATGTTGAACTGCTGCGGGTCCGGCAGCGCGGCCAGGGGCGGCGCGGGCGGCTCGCTGGCCCCCGCGCACGCCGCGCTCTTGAACTCCACCGTGCTGTGGCCGGCGCGCTGGCTGAGCGACCAGCGCTCTCCCGCACTTCGCAGCTCGTGTTCCGAACCCTCGCCGTCGGCTCGGCCCCGACGCTCACTGACTAACCACATTATAGTGACGCGCGCTGCGCACCGGCCACGCCGCCCCGCGCGCTAATTGTTCGCGACTGCGCGAGAGGAGAGCACGTCGCCGCCCTCGGGCGAGAGTGAAAAGACCTGTTCTCACATCCCCATAATCGATGTAATCTTTATAGGGATGCTGCGTCTCATTCATCCCCGTGCGAGTGACACGCGAGCCGGGGGTGCGAAGGCGGGGCCGCCTGTGGGCGGTGGCGGAGTACCCCGCGCTGATTGGTGCGGGGCTTCGGTAGGGGCGCTCGCTGCCAACGCTCCGGGCCAGATAGGCTTTCTTTGTTTTATTGTCCCCATGGCTTCTCGTCGATCTTGCGTTTAAAGTTTATGCATTGCACCATGTTTTGTTTCACAAAACAGAAATCATGTATGAAGTTCTTAAGGTAGAACGGCAAACAGAGATGGCTGGATATATATTGTAATGTAAAGTGTGCTTTGTGATAGTGTGTTGTTTCTAAGTTTGGGATTAATTATTAAAATGTTAAGGGCGTAGTGGAAATGTTTCTGATAACTTCTATGAGTCCTAATTAATATAACTATAACTAATAAGCCTTTTTATAGAAGAGATAAATCCTAAAAGATAGGATAAACCTGTCAGCGTAAATTAAAGTAAAATTTAGGTATATTAATAAAAGGTATCTTACCTACCTATTCGGGCAGTATTGGAATTTTGGGTATTTAGGTCATTATTATCATACAATATCACCGTGGTATGTCCCTACCAGAATACCAGATTTTCCAAAAATTTATTAAGTTTCCATGGTGATCTTGATTTGTTATCTCTACTGATATACTAGTCACATATGAATTACAATGTTACAATATTATTGTTGAATCACTCTGTCTATTGCTAAAAACTGCATTAGAATTGTCTGCATCTAGAAGATTTTAAAAGAGCATAGTAGAATGTGGAAAACATAACAGAACTTAAAACCATATTGCTCTATAAACTTAAAAGATCTTCACAGAGCTGGTACCGCAATGTGTCACTATCGCTATGATTTTCAATGGAGCCACAACTAATTAATTACTATTTTATTGCTTCTATACATGAGAAGCATCATGGAGATCATAATATCATCAATTATGCACTGCTACTCTGTAGGAGCAGTCGTATTTATGGTGTCATGATATTTCACTATTATAAATAAATAAATAAGAATTGACAATTAACACACTGCCACCTAGTCCCGAGCTAAGCAAAGCTTGTGTTATGAGTACTAGACAATTGATATAGACACTTATATGCATTTTTTCTGTAAATCCATACGTAATATACATACAAAACACCTGGACTGGTACACACAGTCATACTCATGAATACAAATGTTTGTACTGTTTGAGGAATCGAACTGGCGATTTTTGAAAGTAAGGTGTGTTAAACCGCTAGCCCGTCGACGACATTATAAAGAAAACATTCATAAGTAATAACAATAAAAAAAATCATGAATAAAAAAATGAACTAAATGTTTTTTGCGGCATAATAAAGAGCAATGAAATAGATCGACATATAGATAGATGGAGAGATATGAATCCACTTGATATTTGAATAATAAGTGGGGCAAGTGCGTTATTAATATTTGAAGATCGCATCTAGCAACCCTTCAGTGGCAGCCCTACGCGGTGGTTATGAATATCATTAAAGGTATCGAGTTCGCTTACCGAATGTTGTAATGCGTTTGTGATTCAATTTCTACTATGAATTTTAATAATAATACCACAGTAACATTTAATAATAATAATAATCTCAGGACAATTCACGCAGCGCCATCTAGACCCAAATTAAGCTAGCTAGTGTTATGGGTACTAGATGACTGTTATAAATGCATAGGTATATATATATATATATTGTAAATGCTTACATATTGCACGTAGAAAATAACCAGACCGGTACAAACGTTAATACTCATGAATAATATTTTTGCCGTGCGAGGAATCGAACCCGCGACCATCGGAAGTAAGGCGATGTACTAAACCGCTAGACCACCGAGGCCGTCAAACATTTGTCAATCAAAATATCTTTTTTCAGTAGCTCTATTACAGATTCTCATGATATATCAACGGTAGGCTCTGACGGTAACGTCAGCTCGTCACTTCGGAGTTTACAATAATACAGATTCATTTTTAAATTTAAATTTGAAAGAATAGAGTAACCAGTGGACGTTACACGTTCATAAGGTCTAAAAATATAATAATTGAATAAATAATTAAATATAATGACAATAATATAGTCCATTGTGTTTAGTAACCATTTTATTTTATGTTAGTAAAAACCAATGTGGAACAACCCCCTAACATATCACCTGTTCCACATGTCTTAGAATGGGACAGTCTATTTTACAGACATTTTCTTCAGGACCCTGTTAGACAGATGGTGATGATTATGATTTATATAATCATGAATTTAAAATATGTTACATATATTCCATAATGTTTCGAATATAAATAAAGAAAATTCAATCTTATGCTTTGACAAGTAGTGTAATATTTATTTAATACCACAATAATTTGATATTTAAGAAGCTGCAAATATACCGGCAAAGTAAAATAGGATTCGCGGAAGTACGAGTGACTCGGATAAGTTTTGGGGTGTTAGAGTAGGGAGTGACGTCTCACAACTTTACTATAGTTTTAATTGATTCCCCGCTCCTTGAAGTAAGACACGAAACATTAGCTTAAGTTAGAAAACGTATAGGTAGTAACGTATCTATAATAGATGTGCCTTAAGAAAGGTACAGATAGCAAATGGTTTTTTTATTCTACGACGGTGGCACACGGCCCATGTGATGGTAAAGGGTTACCGTAGTCTATGGACGCCTGAAACATCTGGGGTATCACGTGCGCGTTACCGACCCTTAAGGAACATGAATATGCCCATGCTGCAGTCTCTCGAGGAAACCTCGGTAGGTAGTTTATTCTACAATCTAAGTACAGGTTTTATTTTAAAGCAAGTCGGGTTCCTTATATAGATGCTTTTTTTAGAACTACTATAATAATGTTTAATCTTTTATCTCATAAAAAATATGAATAGGTAATGGAAGTTTGTGCACATAAAGATCGGGTTAATAGGCAGTATTATAAATACGTTTGACTATATGCAGTTATACCTGTAGCCTTTTGAAAAAATTAAACGCAAAAAACGAAACTAAAGCATACGCACTTAGGCAGTTATGATATGCGTATGAATAACATGGCATATATCGCAAATATAATATTTTTTTACCTGTGGAAAATCCTCATGGAGACTTACCCACCCCAAGGGAGGTAGATGGGTGCTGCCGGACTCTTACCGGTTAAAACCCCAGGGTGCACTCTTTTGGTGCGCGCTTTTGGTGCGCGTTAGCATTCTACCACAGCCCCAGGGCTATAGAGCCCAATCCTCGATCACCTAGTATAATACTGGACTAACTAAAACATTCCAAATCTTGGAAAATCTACTTTGAAGTTTTATCTTAAAGTCGAATTTCTAAAATCTGATGATTTTACGAGTTAAATTAAAACTAGGTGTGTAGTATATGTATTTATATATGAAACGTGGGAAGTAACTACAGTAGGTACTCAACTAAAACTCCAGATATGTGTTCGACTTTGTTGGCGCGTGTATTAACATTAACAAGTCAGGTGGGGTCTTATGTAGATAATTAATTCCGCTCGCAGCTACATGAGCCGGTGTGAAAGATTCGCTACTCGGCCCAAAGTTTTAATGTGCCGCGCAAACTTTCGTGGGGCACACGGAAATACCTGTATATGTTACTAAGTAGGTATGTTTACAGCACAGGTTCTCAAAGTATTTTCCTTATTTAGTCTTATAAAATTAAAAAATTAAAATGTTAATTTGCTACAATTAATTGAATTTATTTATTATTTTTCAATAATTGTACTTCACATTAACATTTAATATAACTTTTGTAGAATTTAAGTACTTTGTATGCTATCTAGGCTAAACATGTCTAACAAATTTGTTCTGTGTATATAAAATCCCTTTATGTCGTCACTACGAATCACACATGTTATATAAATAAATAATCTTGAATTTTACGTTCCTGTCTGCTATTCTTTATATCACTAAATAAATATGAGTAAAACACAGGTACTCAATGTTAATGTTTTTACTTACAGAGAGTAAAGAATTTAAATTATCCTTTACACTCATAAAACTCAAAAAAAAAAATTCTCCAGACAGCTTCTCCGCAGCTCTGTTCAAAATTTTAGGAAGAAATATAGTAAAGTGAAACGCTTAGATGACAGTATTATTTTTTTAATCTTAGGTTTCTGTAATTTATGGTACTTTAATAAATAAGACAGATCTAGATATTTAGTAGGAAGTTTTCTCTAGAATCTGGTAATAAAATAAACAAAAATAATAGATACGTTTTAGTACTTAGCTATAGTTTCGATCATATATCGACAAGTGTCAAAGAACGCTCTGTATTCGAGTCTCTATGTGAAACTGCCAAAGTAAATAGGTTTTTTGTTAAGTCTTCTTTGATGGCCACCGACGACAGTCGGAGAAGTCTAGCGCCCTCAGAAGTCTCTCTCTCTAGCGTCTTTGCTCACTTTGAGAAGGACTGTCTTATAAACTATATTGGATGTTAGTGCAATGAAGTTTCTTTATATATTCTCTTGTACTATGAAACACAGTAAAAAAATATAATTAAAAATTGCATAGTTCGTTGAGATACGCCATAAGGGAATAAAAGAAAAGAAGAATTCTAATATTTTCGAACTCCAAAAATATTATTAAGGGGAAAATGCAAGCACTCTAATTTCTAGCTTATTTATTTCATAAAAGGGAGACGACCCTGCCAGGATTCGAACCTGGAATCTTCTGATCCGTAGTCAGACGCGTTATCCATTGCGCCACAGGGCCGTGAGAACAGTGTCCAAATTTTAGATCCATTTCTCTATGGTAAGTTATAAGTATTGTACATTCATTTAAATAGAAATGGACATTTAGATATTTGATGCAATTGTATTTT